TCAATCAATCAATCAATCAACCAAAACTATTGACAATCTGATTCCTGATGAATGTAACATAAGCATCGTAATGAATTTTCAAAACTTATGTAACGCAAAATGGAATGATTAAGCATTCCTAACGGTTATCTGAAAGGATATTTGAACTCTGCGCTATATTAAAATAATCGATAACAAGCAAACTGGCAATTTACATGATGATATTATTCAAAAATAAAATAACCAAAGATATTATGAAGTTTCCTGATGTTCACAATGGCTAATATGATTTGCATTCTGATATTCTTATTCATTTGTGTATTGATTGTGTGATTTTTGGAAAAACGATTGAATAAAAGAAATAAACAAAGTTTACGAAAAATTGGCAGAGATTTTGTCACAAATATGAAGTGATGTTTTTGAATAACTGCAATGCACTTACTTTCAAATTAAACTATTGCATGTAAAGGTAATATGCATTACAGAGTGAATATTTCTATTTTCATATTTACCAGGTCAACAAATACTTACTAAGAAATTAGTCACATATTAATCAGCTCCTATGTATACAATTCAGGTTTTGCTAAAGCATCAGATACTTTAGTGAAGAAGTAATAAAAGAATGAATACAATGTTTTCTCAAAAAATACTCATCAATTTGAGCAGTACTTTTTTTTTGACATTTCAAGAGTAATGTCGTTAAAAACCGGCTATTTATTATTTATTTTTTCAACAATCTTTGTCCTCTATCCTGTTCTTTTCGTTACAAAATAGCATGTTACGGAGAAAGAAAGTGAATCAACATCGCTTACTTAAGATTTCATTTACCGAACTCAACTGCATTCCACTGTCACTATGAACTGTCATCGCAGTGTCGAACTAGGAACGGCTTGAATCAGAACATCGAATCAGATTCTTCTTACAGTCAGATTTATACATCCAAAAAGAATCTACTGAAGCCCCTGATGATCAGCGTATTTAATCTTCTAGCTAGCAATCGTAGTGTACAATGTAGAATCATAAGAACGAGGAAACGCGCTATATGCTAAATGTAAAAGTTTGATGAAAATGTTTTTTTTCATCGTCAGAGCTAAGTTAACATATAACTTGCAGATGTTTTACCTGATCGTGTGCCTATCAACATTTGTGATCATATCCGAAAGTTCTGCTAAGGAAATACTGTTGGGCGGAATTAAAAATAGTAACGTGAACGATCCAGAAATACAGGTAGATATGATTGCTTTTCATGGATATTCATATGCTTATTTCCAAAAATGAAGAGGAGATATTAGTTGGAATTGAAAGAAAATGAGAGATGAATGTTTACTCTCTTCAGAAAGTAGCAGAAAAGGCGATGGAAAAAGTGAACGCAAAGACTAACTATGAAAATCTCTACAAATTGGTGAAAGTTATTGATGCTCGTACTCAGGTAGTAGCCGGAGTGAAATACTATCTCACAATTCTCGCTGCACCGACCACATGTAGAAAGGCCGGTTTTTTTCTTTTATATGAATATTTTATTTGATTATACAAAGCCTCAACTTTTTTTTCACTGATTAATATTTTCGCTCATTACTTCTTCCCAAGAAAAAAACTTTCAGCTTAATAAAACTACGTAGGATTATTATGAATCTTGAAAAAAAGTAACAACTGTCTCAATTACATGCTCAAACACAACAGTGTTTTTTTATATTCTGTGACCGCATCACTTATGAATATAATGTTTCGTGAAAAGCTGCTTATTTTTTCAAAACTATTTATTTTGCAGAGTTCTAGAAAAATGAATGCAGCGAAATGTACTATCGATATGAGTAAACCGAAAAAGGTAATATTCATCAATTAAATCTTTGTCTATTGCCTCTTTCAATTCGAAGATTTTGTAAATTCAAAAAACGGTTTCGTTTTTAGCTTTATCTTTCGGATAATTTTTCAGTAAATTGATTTATCACAATAACAAAAAACAGACTGAAATGTCAAAAATTTCAACAAATGACAAAACACGGACAATTTCATCCTAACTATAAGAACGTGCGTCTAGCATAATTGTTGAAGTTACGATTTTTTTTTTCAGCAATTCAAAATTGAAGTTCGATCAGCACCGTGGCAAAACATATTCGATGTCACTTTAACATGAGCTTTGTTAAGAATTGCGTTCCTCCGATGATTCATAAATAACAAATTATAAAAATTAAACAAAAAAAACACATCATTTCGGCCTTGCTTCTACATCTGTAATTTTCCTCACTACAACTGTACTTTCGGGTTCTGGATTAGGGCGTTCTTTTAATTCATTCATATACGACGCTGCGATTGCTAACTGTGTTCCGGTTGCATTGAATGAAACGCTCATGATACCTGTTGGGAACCGGAAAAAACAAAATTTAGATTATGTTTCATGTATTGAAAACTTACTACAATAGCGAATGGATTTAAATAGTAAACCAGACTTTGGTTACTAAATATGTAAACGAACTTATGCAGTTGACATATTCGTTTCCTGTTAAACGGGTCCCAAATATTTACAAGTGCATCTGAACCTGAAAACAATTATTGTGCACAAACCTTAAGTATTATCACTTATTTCTTATATGAATGTCGTTAGATTCATTAGGATGTTCACTTTTTTGCAACAACATAAAAATTATGTTCATATTCACAAACTACAACATACCTCCAGTAACAAATGTGTTGTGTATGGGATGAAAATCGATGCAATTTACGGGATATATCATCTCGGTACCAGATTCGTCCTTTTCACGGTGGCATTTAAAAGCATATTTATTTTTCTGAACTTCTGCTGACATATCAAAATACTCTACCGCCACACGCCCTTCAATAGAAGCAACAACAAAAGCTTCGCCAGTTGGAAAGCATTTCACAGCTCGCGTTTGAAACTGAAAAGGAAAATTTTAAAATGGTCCCACTATGCCAATAATAATGAGCTAAATCCTAACTGACAGTTTTTAAAATTGGATTACAGAAAAACAAGACTTTTTCTAATTGCAATAAAGTATTTGCTGTCAATGCAATCAAAAATAAGCAGTAAAAACCTTGAGTGGACTATCACGTATTTGCTCAGGTTCACCAAGATTGCGCATATCCCAGACAATTATTTTGCGATCTTTTGTACCAACAAGAATCCTATTTCCGTGTACATCCATTGCATAAACTTTATCGCCATTACTTCCAAATCCAGCTGAATTTTTTGACCGTGCATCCCATAACTGAAAACATAACACTCATACTCAAAATTTAATATGGTTCATTCACCGGTCGGCTCAAATTTTTTTTAAGAATAAATCCCGAGCCCTCAGTAAAAACTTATAATAATTCTAATTTTTTTGATGTCTAATGTATTAATAGCCACTCACCATCACTGCAGAATCCCATCCTCCTGAAGCTATCAAATTGTGCTCCTTACAATATTCTATGCACCGCACAGGAGCTTCGTGATGCCCCAGAATACATTCTACTCCACTCTCCATATTGTATGTCTTAATCAAATTATCCAGACCGCCACTTGCAATATCATTTCTGGTCTTTAAAAGACAAAGCCTTCATTTGACAAACAAAATTATCAATTAAAGATATAAATGGAATTTTAACTGAAATTAATGTAAAATTCTGCAAATTAAAATGAAGTCTGAGATTCAAGTCTTCGTTCAAAGAATCACCAAATTACGCACTAGGTATCCACTGCATATTACTGCAAATCAAAAAAATAACTCACGAAGAAAGTGCATGCTAAGACAGGCTTAGCATGTGTATATACTCGTTTCTCTAGTGCAGTAACTGGACCAGCAGGAAAATGATAAATGCGAACAGTACCTTCCCAACTTGATACCGCGAGCAACTGGCCGTTATCATCCGGCGAAAACTAAAACAAAAACAGTTAAAGATGACATGAAACATTTTTTCTTTGGCAATGAGAAGGCTTCCAGAAGCGGGAAAATCAAGATATTATGCAAATTCAACGGCATCGGATGAGATCATTCTGTTTCTTGAAATGAGCATGTGAAACAATGAATCAAACAGAAGTATATTGGACCTTAATCTCTAAAGCAATGATAGACCTTTCATTTGGTGATGCCACTGCACAATGAATGATGAGCACAACGAGGAAATGCGAAATCAGATAGTTTTCCTCACCTGATATGTAGATTTAGGACTAATGTTTTTAATCAATTATCAGAACTGCTATTCGGCCTCTCATAAAACTCCCACCCCCTTCGACATTAGCTAAACGTTTCACTGATGCAACAAATGTTTCAACCAAATATGTAGTTTGATAAATTTAAACAGATTCCACAAAATCATGAGAAAAATGAATCAAAATTAAGTTTGTCAAATTTTTAAGATCCAAAGTCTCACAGGTGTGATAAAATAAAACAAGTAGTAATAGATAAATAAGAATAACTAAAAATATGAAAAGATAAAATTACCTGCACTTTGGAGATTTGCGTATTACTTGGATGTGGAATCGTTCCTTCCGTTGAGCCACCAGCGAAATGAAACATTCTTACTAAATGTCAGTAGATCTGTTTCCTGGAAAAACATTTGTGATAAAATCCCGAGACACGTAAAACAAAAATGGATATACATTCAAACTTCAAATCTGAAAAGAATAAAACAACCGTATACATGTCAACGCTTCGTTTACCAATTGCTGTATATTGCAGCTCTCTTGAATGCGTTTTAAATATAAAAAAATGGCAGGGTTGGTTATGTCTGTGGTGCTGGATAAAATGAGAGGAGAGGAATTCGTTTCACGTGTGGTACCGCTGGATAAAATGAGAGGAGAGGAATTCGTTTCACGTGTGGTACCGCTGGATAAAATGAGAGGAGAGGAATTCGTTTCACGTGTGGTACCACTGGATAAAATGAGAGGAGAGGAATTCGTTTCACGTGTGGTACCGCTGGATAAAACGAGAGGAGAGGAATTCGTTTCACGTGTGGTACCGCTGGATAAAATGAGAGAAGAGGAATTCGTTTCACGTGTGGTACCGCTGGATAAAATGAGAGGAGAGGAATTCGTTTCACGTGTGGTACCGCTGGATAAAATGAGAGGAGAGTCATTTCCACGTGTGGTACAGTTGGATAAAATGAGAGAGAAGGACCTCGCTTCCACCATCACATTCGTCTGGCCCACCTACCGTACTACCTAATGTACACATTACCTTATGCTTTCGTAGTTTAATTACCACCGTATCAGCTGAATTTATATCTTAGCATTGCATTAGAGATGAACGGAAAATATCTCGCCAGAGAACATTGCACTCTTTAACTTTCGCTATCTCTGTGAATTGGTAATAGGTTAATTAACGGACCACATAACTCATCACATTATTTCACTGAAAAGTACATGAAAGATGAAGAAACAGACGAAATGAATATGAATGCATTAAATGATGATGGTCAGCAAATAAATTCATTGTTCAAATGATGACAGTCAGCGATGATATGCAGGAAACCATACGATATAAAACTATCAAACATACGTGTGTCTCGAGAAAATCAAATCGGTTCCTTAGTACTATGTAAGATTTTATAAGCATCATTTGGTTGACGTACCAGTAGTATAATCAGGTTTGGCAAGTTGATGATTCTTTTCGAGCAATTTTCTCCTCATCTTTTCTATTGGAGAATAGGAAATGTCTAATTTGACTGAAAAAGATGAAGTCAAATGATCTCATAGCTGGATTAATCCAACAATTTTCAGCATGTCTCTCCCTCTAATTTATGTAAAATATGCAGCGGCAGCTATGATTCTACGTGCAATAAATGATATGTGTATTTGTATGCATTAGTCATACATATGAGTAGTTGCAATTCTATTTATAGTACGAAAAAATTTGCATATGACAATTTATTCTTGTCCATTCTTTTTTTACTGGAGAATATTATCTTGCACGCATTGTTGCATTTAGTCATTCTGAAGGTTGGTTAGTTTGGTTTTTGCGGTCGGGTGTCTAATTGAGAAGGAGGGAGGAGAAGGGGTGATCACGTAGCTGGTGTGTTTGGCACGTAGCAGTAACTGTGTACTACTCTTTAGTAATTATTTTAGCTAATGAGTTTAATCATTATGTATCCGCCTCTATTTCAGACTAACATTAAAGAAAATAACATGATAAGTTGAGTGTGAAATATAATAGTACTTGCGATACCACTGAAATGAGCAGATGAGATAGAAATTTCTGAATATTTCCCCTTTTTGAAAATATGAAAAATAGACAGTTATGTAATGTTAATAACTACAGAAAAGATGGATTCACAATTGTATTTAAATTCTTACTGCATAATAGTGATTGTCGTCAGAAATGTATGAATTTAGTTTAAGGAAAACAATGATTAAGAAGGCATTTTCGAGAATGATACATTCTTTACTGCATTAAAATCTCAATTTATATTAACAGTAACTACACTCTTACGAAGAATCATTAAAATAATTTGCTTCTCCAAATTCTTGACAAGTTTGAGATGTATTTTCCAAACTGTGGAATCATATACTGAATTTCCTATTTGATTAACTGAAGAATGGTTTCATAAAACTAAACTGATTCCTGAAAATGGAACTTGATAACATGAAATTTTTGTCTTGTTTACTTTTCTATTATTCTACCTTCAATGCTATTTGTATGGTCAATATAGAATTGTTATTTGTATAAGAAATTACCAAAATCTGTTGCAGATTCATCGGATTCGCTAAACTATAAAGAATATGTCGGAAGAGCCTATAAAAGTAGTTAATTTCGATGGTTTTATCAGCCATGTTAGTGATTCCGGTGAAGATTCGGAAGTTATTATTTATGTGGCGCACGTTGTTAGCGATGATTCCAGAATGCGAGGTGGAAGTGAAATGGGGGCAACGCAGGATTCGTTTGTCTGTGGAAATCATGTCAACAACAGCGACGATGATTATGGTATCATTATAGTTTCTGCATCTTTTACAGCAGTACTGTTCCGCGATATTTGACCTGTTAAACTATCACTGTGTATAAATAGACTTATAAATGTTTACATATCGATGGATAGAACAGAGACTAAGTCCTCGAGTTATCACTCTTTACATAACACTGGTTTCCAAGAGATTTTTTTTTTTAATTAATAAAAAAATAATATTTCTAGGTATATTCACAATTCGTGTTGGGAAGTGTGTGGAACGTGTTGCTGTAAAAGATATTTCAGAAAACGGAAGATTGGCAAAGGTTAATTACACTGTTTAAGTTTTATCAAGTAGCTGTGATAAAACATGGAATATGAAGGATTGATATTTTTTCAATATTGAAAATGGTAGTATTTTGGGTGATTATTTTCATGGAAAACTTTTCAACTGTATGCATTTTTAAATAGCAAAAAGTGTTTAAATATTGTTTCGTTATCATTTAAGAATTTTTGCCAAATGCAGATTTTCTTTTTCCATCGACTTCATCACGGATTCATAATAATTGGGAGAGCAGCAGTTGCATAGTAAGTTGTATCTATTCAAGGTTCGTTTAATTGATAAGGGAATCGACGTTGAGGTGGAACGAAATGCGTTATTTCCATCGAATTCGCGAGCAAAAATTGACAATGATTGTATGTGTCCCATTTTGGTTGTTGACGCTGGTGAAGAGCAGAGAGAAGTCGCAGCACAAATTAGTGGACGTGAATGCCGCTGCATTAACGGTTTAGTTTCCTTAATGTCAAAATCATCTTGTCAGAGCTATTCATTAGTTGTTCATAATTGAAATTCATTCATGTAACCTTAATTATATCAGGACATGGAAATATTGAATCTAATTCTACAGGTAATTTGGTCGTAATCCCATCTGTGGGACTTTGTGTTAAAGGTCGATTACTGATTTCTTATGGCAATGGTGGATATGCGGAATTAAAAGATATTAGTCTGGCACCAACAGAAGGAGAAGAATATTCAAAATTTGTAACGGATGGTACGTTCATGCATTGATTTTTCAAAATATTCGTAAGATCAACAGTTTAGCTTTTTGTGTTAATGAAGCAGCAATTGACAGATATGCCACAGTCGAATGCCAACATGTCATCACTGTCAAAGCATGCAAGACCTTTTCGTTACCGCCGTAATTCGATTACACGCCGCAAAAATTATGGTAATGATGGAAGATATGAACGAGAAGGTTATTCCTAAAATTCTTGAAACAGGAATTGTAATCATTTTCATAAATTCAAGCACAGGCTTTTAATTGTGTTTAGCGTTATGCTGGTAAAAAGGAAGAGAAGAGAGAAAAACTAGTGGATTTTCATATTTTCTTGAAAAAAGTTTTAAATTATTCCCTCAAATTATGTTTGCTGAAATTATTATTGTCTAGTTGTTATTATAATTAATTCTTTTTCTACTTCATTAGTTTTTCTACTTAATCAATAGCGGTAGTGGAATGATTATTGCGTAGGATAGAAAACACAATAGTTTTAAGTGAGAAAAGGCAATTGAAATTCACATTGTAACTAAAATTATATGTTATAGAGTACAGTGGCGTGATGGATGTGTATGAAAACGAAACATACAATTTCGCTGAAAGCCGTTTTACAAATCATTGGAACAATAATGTAAATAAATTTAAGTCCTTTTTTGTAAAAAGCTTTTTTGCAAAAAAGACTTTTTTGGAACTGAATTGTCTTTTTTAGTGAATATATCTTTTTTAGCCATTTAACGAGAATTCAGCGATTATTGGAAACAATGTTTCTTTTAATCGAAGGAATTACAGCGAAAGCTTTCTTGCTAATTATGATCACGGTGCGTTATTTTCTAGAAGCTTATTTTGGGTTTTTTTTTTATATTTCGCTATAATCGTAGATATCACTAATTATTATGGTACCTGATTGTTTTTTTATATTCAGAAGAGATGGATGATACGTACGCTATGAGATCGAGACTCAATGTATGTCTAATTTCAACTTTCTATTTTTGAATTTTTTTGCGGCCGGTTAAGTAATTATATATTTGAAATGTTTTGAAGTAAATAATTATGATTAATGTTACAGATCACTGTTTAAACTGTTTGAACAAATAGATGGCATCTCAACAAAAACCCTCACTGAAGATCAGAAATTGTTAAAACTTAGTGTTATGACGAATGTTTTTTTTTTGTAGGTACCATACAAGCAAAGTTTCTTTAAAGAATATGTGCCACATGTTTATCCCCGTACAATTCGAATTCGTTTTGATAAGATTGATTCGTCGTCCGTTGACACCTTTTGGGCTTTCGAACCAAGCATTTTTACAACTGTCGAAAGAGTGAGTACAATACAATTTTCCTAAAAACGATTGGTGCCAACTTTTCCTTCTCGTGAAACTTTTCTTTTCTTTCTTTTAGGTTCTTCATGAAGGACGACAGCGTTACATTGCTTGCCCGCAATTTGATCTGTCGTTGATTCATGAATTAAGCGGAATGGGTTGCTTGGTGAGAGCGAGTGTTGACAGCGCTTATCGCTCTTTGTATCGTGCTGAAATCATCAAATTCTCAAATAACATACATAAGTCTGTTTTTGAAATTTATTTAATATTGTTAAATTTAATATTGCATGATCAAGATATCAGTCTGTAAATTTGAACGATAAGGTTGTGACGCTTCTATTGTTTTGGGATTTTACTTTATTTCATTGTAATTCCATAAGACGTACGTTATGATTCTCATATTTAATTAATGGCGTCCCCCACTTTTGTTGCTCCATTCAACGTTTTCATTTCGGCTAAGTGGGAAAATTATTCTTTAAAAATGAATTTCAGATTTTCTGTGTACTTGGTTGACTATGGTTTTTACAAATGGATCAAGTACAATGATGTATTTGATATCTCAGTGATTAGCAAGGTTAAATGAATTTCTCATTCTTTGGAACAAAATATGTCAAATCAATGTGTTGGATATACATAAAGGACGCAAAAATAAGTGATTCTGATATAGTGATATTGCATAAATATCGTGTTTCCCTAAAATCAAAAAAGTTGAAACTGTTATTTCCATTACATTAATGATTAAAAAGTTTAATTAGATTTGTCGTTTTAATTAAATTTCTATAAAACTGGGTTGTTAGTTAATGAAGCATCATAAGTAACAGTTTCCTTAACCTCATTTTTTTGGAGAAGCAAGACAGATTGATCATATTACCTTATAATTTCGCTTACTGAAACTTCACTTATTGATTTACATTATCTCTAATGATCTTTAAAATGATCGCTTTTTTTTGGACGAAGTGCAATAGTGTAATTGATTTTCAGAAAGAAATATTAATATAGAAGCATGAGCGAGTGTACTGACATTAAGGATCCATTAATGACCAAAGACAATCTTTACGATTATCTTCTCCTACCTTAATTTGCTAGTGTGAAAGATTGTTAAATTTCAGAGAGATAAAATCCTATATTTACCGGTAGCTTTGCTTCACTGTCGGCTTGAGAAATGTGGAAATGGAAATGGAATTCGCTTGCAGGTAACTTAACCTTATGTCTTTCAGTCTTCTTTTAGATAATTCAGGCCTTGAATCAATTCAGTCTTTTCATTCAGACTTCTCTCACCTTTCTGATAGCTGATAAAAAGAGGCTTTTGTTTAATAATTTATTGAATTTATTATGCAACATGTATCGTCACAATTATATAGCAATTGGAAAAAGGTAGCGAATACGAAATTACTATCAAATCACGGGATTCAGAGGGCATTTTCAATGTCAATATTAATGAAATCGATAATAATGGAGCAGCATTGACGAACATTTGTGATTCAGTTGTGCCTTTTAATCCTGATAGAGACAGTATGTTTTTCTGGTTTGCAAAAAACTAAGATTAGATATAAAAGTAGATTAAGGATGGCCGAAGAAGGGAGTTTTTGAGCACTTTAAGTTTCATTAGATTTGACTTTTTGAAATTTCTGGAACAGGGCTCATAATTCGGTTAAAAGATTCATTTTATGAAATGTACTTACTATTAGAATCATTTTTTTGGCATATATGCAGACATGTGTTCAGATATATCCATAAAGAAAGAGGAATACAAATTTTCTGCAGTAATCACAAGGAATTGTACAGAACTTCAATTAAAGTTTGAAATTTTAACATAGCTTGAATAGTGAATTGAAAGCATGAAATAATCCTATTTTTTCTAATATATCGACTAATTGATTCTTTTTTAATATAAATATATACGCTGAGAGACCTTGTTATGCTTTCCGATTGGTTGGATTCATGTCTTGTAGTCTCGCAGTAATTTTTTTTAAGACAATTTGCTTACTCCATCGTGTTCCTGTTCTTCATTACAATTTATTCACGATGTATTTATGAGAGCTTTCCAAAGAAATATGAGCAGTAATGAAGCGGCGTATGGAAGTTTCCTGATGAGCACAATGATGGCAAGCAGTATGACTTTCAATAACTGGTTTGTTAACTTTTTACAAAATTTGATTTGCTTGGCTTATTATGATGTGAAAGTGAGTTGAACGGTAAAACTCGGAAATAAAGGAATTTGATTCTAACAAGTACAAGGAATGAAAGAAACTTCATCTTTGCTCTACTCCTTAACGTTTAACTATTAGTTTTGTAACAAAACAGCACACAAATGGAATTCATTCAGCATATATCACTTTTTAAAATTTATCAACTAAATAAAATACAAATTTTGACGAAATAGAAAAAAAGTCAAAAAATCATTATTTCTTATTTATTGTTTTGTTAAAGGCCAAGCATGTTTGGATTTGGTATTCCATATCCTATGATTATGCCTATAATGGTGCCGGTGATGCCTGATTTCGGTAATATAACCAACGGAAGTCATGAAAGTCGAATTTGTGCCCAGTATGAACAAAGTAACGACACCATGAAGGAGAATCGGTTCTCAATGAACAGGAATATGCGCGGCTCAAACAGGCAATAATTTCCGCATCCTTTAAGTTAATGGAAAATATAACAATCCTTATTTGTTTTGCAGTAAGAACACTGTTGTTATACAGCAGCTGTATGATAGTTGTGTTTGCTGTTGCTACTTTTTCGGCAGTGAACCACAATTCTTGAGACTTGAAAATTTTGTGCTTCAAACAAATATAAAATCAAATGAAGAAATTAAGCATGTCACACAAGTTTTTGAGAAGAGGCAATGGTCGCTCCTTGATCCATGAGGAAGGCAGATATCACGCAATTGAACACAATGGGGAACTCAATTATAGCGACAATTTTGACGAATACAATGATTCGCGAGCTATAAATGCTTTTGATAATGGAAATAATCATTGTTGGGGTAGACGAGGCGAAAGAAATGGTGCATTCAGAGGTCGTCGACCTCGAAAATACATTCATATTAATGCTGCCGGCTCAGATGAAGGTTCAAGTTATTTATTTAAGAAAAATTTTTTTTAATATTTTTGCTTTCCTGACTTTAAGACATAAGATTAAAAAAACACTTTATTATTCTGAATTATTAATATAAGCACCATGACAGTATTCTCGATAGATAAGATAGCTGTGTCCAGCAGCAAACATGTCGCTTTGTAGGAATCTTGCTACATTGAATCAGTCATCCTGACAATCCTTAGTGAATTAGATGAGATATCAGCTAAAATTCTACTTTTATATCTTCTGTTGAATCTGCAATATATTTTCAGCACACGAATACTTTTCTTTCGACGCTGAATTTTCTGACTTCAGTAAGGTATGTTTCTTTAATAAATTCAATCATCTACAGTATTGCTGTTTCTGTAAGACTTTTATATGATATATTCAGGTTTTTTTCAATTATTCTTCAATTTGATTGCAGTCTATTCATGCCATTATTTCTCATCACAATGTTTGCTTCAGGAGAATATTCAGGAGAATACGAGAGAAGAATCTATCGTTTGTGCAGAGAGCAGCGAATGGGACGTATGTTGAAATTTTATAAGTTTTTACTATTTTGCAGACTTATTTGCTATTTTTAATTACTGTCATGGAAGAATTACATTTTACTTTTTTTGATATATGCTATTGCTTCCAAAGCAATCAACTATCGTTTAATGAAAGGTGATGTAGTATGTTGTTCCAAGCATTACTTCATATTTTGTTGCTTTGTGACATACGTTCCTAGAGGTTTTTCTAATCAGGATAACAAGGTATCTAAAATTAAGTTAAATTAAATTGTGAAAATGTTTAATTTCAGTTGCCACCGCTACGAAATCAGCGTACAAATCGACTGACTGGTTTTTACGGAAACAACACATCACTGGACTGAATTTGAATTGAATCTTTAAGAACGATTTTTTGTTTCATGTGGAACATTTCTCTGCTTCTTTATTCTTATTATTCAGTAACTCGTACTGGTCTGATTCTAATATGTTTTTTTGGCGATTCTTATTAATCATTACTACTTGTGTGATTTTTCATTTTTCTCTTTAGTTTACCAACTGATTTACCATAATTTCTAATTTTTATATGAAGTGCTTTTCCTTATTATAATGTAATTTTAAAGATTTAATAAATGCTTTTGCAATATTACATTTGGAAATGTACTCTTTTTCTTTTAGACGAATAAGACACAAAGTTGGAAATTGAAATTTGTTTGCATATCGTAATGACTAAAATTTATTTGAAAATGGAAGCAAATTCGAAGTTAGGTGTGATATTTTCCGGAGAGAAATCAAGTTTTGAGATAGTTTATTTGAATTTGATTAAGCGAAAGAAATTTTGAATGAATGGTTACTTTTTTAATTTTGGGTTGGATCATTTTAATTGTAAAGAAAGGGTTGTTTTTGGTCCAACCTTTCGAAAGTAATGACTGGGCAGGACAAAGACTGAGCAGGCAGCTCAAAAGCAATGACTTTTTATTAGGGCAGTACTTTTCAGAATTATATTTGTTTGGTATGTATACCACTTTAAACAATTTTATATTTTCATGTTCTTATTGGCGTTTTAAAATTAAAGTAATGCTAGTGCAAATGCTTCCAGTTATTGCTTATTATTTCATTATTGCATATTTTCATATTTAACTGAACTTATTTAAGTTCCAGTCAAATATAAAGTGGAAATTGTTAATTCATGCTACATTTAAAAAAAAAAAATTTTTCTGTTGGGAGGTTTTTGTGCGATTCTTAAGTTTCTTATTTTGCTTATTTACTACAGGAATTCAGTTATTTTGAAAGTCATTTTTAATTGAACTTATTGATTGGTATTTGCTGCATAGTTAATTATCGTTTAGCAAATCTTTCACTGACTATGAGAAAACTGATATTGGAGAAAGGAAATATTCCTACCTCAAACAAAGTGGTTTCGAAAGATATAATAAGAAATGCATGATTTTTTCCAAAATTCCCTTAAATTTTAGAAATCGTCAACATTATAATTCAAGAACTGGAAAATTGAGGTTCATTTTGAAAAATGACAGCCGTGTTAAATGGAATTCAGGTAAAGAATTAGTCTGCAAAGTAATAGATTAGTTGATAGGTCAAGAAAGGAATCAAGTCGGACAGAAGGATTAGCAGTGATAATTTATTCATAGAATTCGGTATGTTTTCGAAGAGCAAGTAACAGTACGGCCTATGAAACGGAAATCCGGATGGTTGGAATCAGCTATTTTTCCTAGAACATGATAAATTACGTCGCAACAATAGCCAAGGATTCATGGCTTCTTATATCAATTTTCAGTTTGCTGAGATTAGCAATTAGCAAGATATCAAAAAATCCAAAAGTAGAAGCAGACAAAATTACTTTTATACTCAGGATTTGGAAAAATATAAGCACAGAATATTGATGAATGAATAATAAGAATGGTGTAAGAGAGGATGTTTAAGAATAGATGAGAAGTTTGTATTGGTTGTCAATACATCGGTTGTGTAGCGTCAGTATTTGAGAGATTAGATTTTATCGTCTAACATGACGAAGTGTTTTGCCTTCATTATCACTAGCAATAATAAATTCCATTGCTTTATTTTCATTAATCGTAATTGGTTTTTCACCGGGTGTAGCCGATTTTCGCATACAACTTTTCTTTGGCTATAATTATAAGTGATATTTTCATTTAATTAAGTAATTGCAAAATTTTTTTAATACTACATTTTTTAATCAATTTAATACACATAATATCCTCCTTTAGATATTTCGAGAAAACCTGCGAAGCAAATTCCTTAACATTTTCTTCAAGATTTCTATTAATCAGGTGTTAAATATAGGCTTATGCAGTCGGTTAGCTAAGCAAATACATTTTGCTAAGATCTAAGCTGGAAGATGCTTCAAATTATTATCAAATGTTGTAGATTCAATTGTAACTCCAAATCTCTTTCAACATTATTTGTAGAAAAAAAATGACTGCTCTATTATGAATGTGAACAGATAATTAAAATAAATGAATTACTGCTAAATATTTCAGACTACATGAAGAGTAAAGTTATTACCGGAATTGCCTTCTTCAATTTCAGTCTTTCTCGCGCAGCTATATCACGTACGTCACTGTTCATTGCAACAGATGGCGCTTGTGCTGCAGACGCAGCAAGTGCACTCTGAACCCAATGTCGTGCTTCCAAGGTTTCTGGACGCTCAACAACCATCGTAACAAAACGTTGTACTTGAAGACTTTTGAGGAGAAGCTCACGGCATACATCTTTATCAGTTACTGGTCGTCCGTCAATATCAATGATATGATCACCGATTAACAACTGCTGAGCAGCAAGCGAATTCTGATCAGCACGTGATACTAATACACGATTCTGGTAGTGCTTAATACCAAGACCAAGCTTTGGACCACCGGGTTTCCAATCAATTCGAGCGACCTGAAAAGATAATTGTAACAAATCCAGAAATATTAGCAAGATAATTTCGTAATGACATGAATGAAAACTCCTTTTTAGAAATAATTTCAGTATTATGTTCGTATATCAGCAATACTACGATTAAGCTATGAAGAACAAGCTCAAGAAGAAGCTTACAGTTCTTAACTTTAAAGTTCTATATCAGATCTTTTATTAATACTTTTGTTTGAAAAAATATTTGAATTTATATTCTTTATAACTAAGATTCAAAAATAATCGAACTTAACATTAATGATTGAGAAGTAATTCAAATGATTCTGTACTTTAGTATAAATAAAGACAGACAGAAAGAAATTGGAAGATACAAAGTAAGTGTATCCATCGCGGCGTACGATAAATTTAGCTCGTTCTGGTGGTATATGAATTTTAGCTTCTAATTCAGCTGCTTTCTTCGCATCACGTATTAGACTAATTGAAGCAACCGGTGGAGCAAAACGGAGTAATTGATAAAAGTGATCTGCGTCACGTACAATTGCATCGTTTACTTTAAGAATTTGATCGCCCACCTGTAGTTCATTCAGGAATGAAAGGATCGATTAAAAAATAAATTCCATGAGTGTAAAAAAATGAATTATAAAGTAAGTCCTGAATCAGTTATAAAGTAAATTCCGCATAAATTTGCTTGAAAATTTAGATTAAGATCCTTACAAAGTAGCTTATTACTTAAAGTTGCGACCTTCAGCTTTCCATCTGCGAGCGTGCCCTGTTGTACTTTAACAATAGTAAGTTTTTCATTGGGCACAGCACCCAATGGTTCACCATCCTCTATGGGTATCACAACTACCAACTCCTTTGACATTATGCTAATACCAAGGCTGCTACCAGTACAGTATAACTGCTTTTTACGAATAAAACTGAACCAAATGATTTTGCAAGTTATCTCCTCTTTATAAATCATTATTTGCATAAGAAATATGCATAAGTTTCAAACTTATAGCTCAAATAATTTTAAAGGTTGAGGAATTTCATGAAATTATTTAAATGAATGTCTATCGGAAGTGAATGAAGTTGCAACTATGCGGTTAGAATCCTCTAACTCGATCAACGAAAATCTCTTCAAAATCAAATAAAGTTTTGTCCACTTGTTCATCTGAATTGCATTTTCTAGGGTTCGTTAGTTTAAACTGAAAGAGATCTATTTTTCTCTCCACTCTAAAATATTAAATTTAAGAAAAACGAATTTTAAGAAACAAATTGTCATATTGATTTAAAGCATCTTTTAAAATTTAGGATACGCTAGAACTGGTGCTAACACATTTCTTTTAATATGCAAATCTATTAATAAATAAAAGGAGTGGAAAAGCAACAAAATTAGAAAAGAATTAAATTAAAAAGGCCGAAATGAAACGAAAACTTCTAATACAAAATCATTCATTCATCCTTACATGAAAAGAGCGAATTCCTAGAAAATCTGCATCTTATAAGTACAAATATTTGAGGGCCAAAAAATATTTGCACCATCATTTCAAGAAAACATGCATCATAAGATTTGAAAAAAATGACTGAATCAACAAAGATGGAAATAATTCACAAATTCGGATGATATGAAAAATTAGCAATAGATAATAAATAATAATTGATAAGTTATATCTCATTTCACACAACAACATTACACTAAAGTCACTTTTAATTAATACATCGCTTATGTATAATGATTGTCCAGTACAGCATTAAAAACACATGGCAATACATTGTCCGTAAATTGATCACAGATAGTATCACCAATTTAAGATAAGATACTCATGGAATGTGCAATTTCAATAAGATAATAGAGTTGATATATTCAGAAATAACTCATTATCTACATGCTCTGATAAAATTATTTTGGTCTTTAAAATATCAAAATTTTTAGTGCTGCTGCGATAATTGCAAAAAATTATTTGAATAATTTAAAAACAAAAGCAAAATTATTCTTGTTCATTCTAGGAGTATCTGATACACTGAAAACAACAAATAGTAACAGTTGCCGCGGACAATACATCTATTTATGGGGTGCGCACTTTTCCATAAACATTCATTATAAGAGAAGTAAAAAATTATACAATAATAGATCGTGCATGAAATATAAAAATGTACATCGATCCATGGAAGCGCAAACACCCGTTATTATTAACGATGAATATACATATTGGTTATATATTAATATACAAACCGATAACATGTGTGCATATGTGTTCGTATTTCTGTTCTTCAGGTGATATGTTCCTGATTTCTTCAGTGTACATCATTGAATTTAGATAGTTGTTGAAACTCTCAGGATGGTTAATGAGATCATGGAGTCAATAAAAGATAAATAAAAATTATTTTGCAACAAAAAAGGCTGATCCATTGTAATCATTTCAATTACCATTTAACAAAGGTAGCGCCATTGATGAACCTGAAAATAACTTTTCTTGTAATACAAAATATATTCTTCGAATAACTTTTAATAATTAATGGTAATAAATCTGCATAATGATAATAATAATAAATCTGCATGAATTAGTTGGAAAATTCATATAATCAATATTTTCATTTTGTCCTTCTTCCAGAAACTATCAAATTGTTGGAAAAATATTTTCAAATATTGTTCTTTTCTTGGCTTTTACTAGAAGGGAATCATCAAGGAAAAAAAAACATCATTATTCTGCATGCCGACATATAAAACATTTTATCGTGAAGATAGATTTTATTGAATATCAACATAATATGAATCAAAAATAACCTTCACGAAAGATAACTACTTTTGCTAAATCTTCGCCATAATCATTACGTAATGCGCAAAGATATTCACCAAAATGTTCATCAGTCAGTTGCAAAATTGAAAGAGTTGATGTTGTAGTTGTTGATGAAATTTCAAAACCACAACGTCCACTTACTAATTTTTTATCACCATGAAACCATGTTACTATTGGTAATAAGCCCTGAAATAATCAAAATATCTCATAAACTATAAAATCTCTACGATTTACTTCCGCCATGTAAGACTAAATCTAAAGAATATTAAAGAGTGAAATGTGATTTTGAAATTATCAAATATTGTTTAGAAGCTCTCACACTACCAGTCACTTATCAATCAACGTATCAAGTAGTGGTTAAAGAGTCGATCATTACACAAAGTAATTGATAAATGATAAGCAGCATTACGTACTTTAAAACTGCAAGTCAAGCTTGCTTTTTGTCCGATTGTACTTTGAATTGAAATTGGCAATTTGGTAAATCTTGGCATAACAGCATCCAAACTGAAATAAACCAATATTTTTCCAAAATGAATAAAAAAACAAACAAATGGCTCAGCATTATCGATGATACAACACAACAATTGTAAAAAAATTTCAATTAAAAATTCCAATAGACAAATGTAATATAATTCGAATCCTTCTTTATAAGAATGAAAAATATAAAATTTTATGTACCAAATACAACTCTCGAAGTTTTCACTCATCCAAAAAGAAACAAAGGTATCTTGTTGAGAACTTTTATGGCATATCCTTCAATTTTCATTCATATAAAACTGGTAATGAAAGGCTTACTCTGTAACTTCAGTAACATCAACAGCAATTATCGCTTTAGCTGTACCAGAAAGATTGACTGCTTGCAATTCGTATTTACCACGATCTTCATTGGTACAATTACAAATTGTCAATGTAAATATTTCACCACTACTTGCCATCTGAAAAAAATAGAACTTTTAATGCATAATCAATCAAATACTCTAATAGTGCATGAAGTCATTTAAATAATTCCTATCACTCCAAAATTATTTACTAAACATTTAAACTATCATATATCAAGCATTTGAAGCCAATTGCCCTTATGTGAACTTCATGCAAATTAATAAAACTAAATGTGATGCAGAGGTTTAGTCGACTAAAACAATTTCTTTGGATAAATTTTAATTCCATGATATGACTGAACCAATCATATATATCCAAATATTTTACGACAAATAACATACCTGATATTTTTCACCGGAAGCAATTGAAACCATATTTTTAGTCCACACAACTGCCGGTTCGGGATATCCACGTACCGTTACTGATAATGTCAGATCACTCCCTAGTTCAACACTCGCATTTGTGGGTGCATTTATAATAACTGGTGGATTTTCATAACCACTTTGTTTTCGATGTCCTTCAAACATTTTTTTTGAATATTTATTAAATTATTTTTGATAAAGTCACCAATTACACAAAATCTTTGCCGTAATTTTAAGGCTTTTCATATATAACCTTTCATAATTTTTAAACCTTAGAAGCTTTTGAATCTTTTTCTTCAGAAAAATAGTAAATTCTCAACTGTACTAGCTAGATATTAACACTTTATATCTTTCTTTACAATATGATATGATTAGTCTACCTGTAACAACGAGGCGAACGTTACACTTAGCATTGCCAAATTCATTTGTTGCTTCACAAGTATACAATCCAGCATCTTCAGGGAATGCATCTGCTATTGTCAAGTAGCAATTCCCTTCCACACGTGAGTACAAAAATCCACTGGAATCCTGAATTTCCATTTTGTTACGCATCCATCGTATCGTTAATGGTTCGGAACCTGCAAGAGAAATTGAATTAAAATGAAAAAATTTCAATGATTTATGTGAACTTGCTTGATTTCAATGATAACAGCTTATTCATCTTATAACTATGAATTCAAAAGATATTACATTGATTTAATAACAACAAACCTTCCACCAGTTCAGCATGCAAAACCACTTTATCACCATCTAATGTTTTAATTGCTTCATGTCGTCCATCAGTACGGAATTTCGGTGGCGTACCACCAACTGCGGATATCTTTCCGGGTTCAACGTCAAGTTGCATTGCTGTTTTAGCTTCACCTTCTTGATTTTTTGCAATACAGATATATTTCCCAGCATCTGATGCAGCAATACTAACAAATTTTAGTGTTGTCGTTTCACCATCATATGATATCAAATAATGATCATGCTGAGGTACAAGTATGTCACCATTTCGAAGCCACTGGATTGCTGGAGCCGGATAACCTGATACGCTACATTCTACTGATACAGGCTCGCCGTTTATCGCCTATAAAAAAAGGAAGAAAATAGAGTAATATTGAGATTAAAAGTTTCAATTCTATCATTTAAGATCGATACTTTCTATATCAAAACATCGCTGTAACAGTTCAAAAAATATTACAATTCTTCAAAAATCAAATTAAAACAAAGTTTTGTTACCTTGAATTTACCGGGCAACACTTCAATGAATGATGGTGCAGCTAGTCCTTTTCGTAATCTTCTTGTATCATCACCTGGTATCACTTCAATTTCAGCGGCACAAGTCACAAAACCTTCACTGTTCGAAGCAGAACAATTGTAGAAACCTTCATCAATCTTAGACATGTGATGTACCTATAAGAAATTATTTTTAGCAGGAAGTTTTAAACTGCTGCAAGAAAACTAAAGGATTTCAAAATTTCGAACCTTCAACAAACCTGCAGCACTTACATACATAGCGAAGTCAAGATATGAGTAAATAACAAAATCTTAGAAATTTTCTAATAAATTTAAATTTGGAATTCAAATCACAATTTACCTCAAGATAGTAAAAGTCACCATCATTGTAAATGGAATATTTGTTACCAGTTTCCAACACAACACCAGCTTTATCCCAACGCACAACCGGTATTGGATTAGCTGAAATAGCAGCCCTTAACCTGAGTGATTTATGCTCGACGATTGATTTCTTCGGTTTCGGTTTCACCATGAATTTTGGTCGACAAATATTCTTATTGCGTTCAGCAATTGACGCTCGAATTTCTTCCAGTGCTATAAAAAAAAATTAAAAATTTAACTTTTTTTTTAAAAAAAGATTGTAGAAGCGGAAATAAAGTTGTGATATCACTCATGTGATAACTTTATCACATTAGTAATATCACTTGCTACAAACAACATTTAGGCCTGTCAACTGACTTGTAATTTCGCTTTGTGGCTCCATCGAGCTGCTTGAAGCAGAAGCCTCAATCTCCGCATTTCTCAATGTCACAATTTGTTTGATACGTTTTCCATCTGATCTTCTATGGATGCGATGTCGTCGTTCTGGAAAAAAACCTCGAGTTTCATTAGTATATGAAAGACTTCTTATAGAAAAATTGTTTTTATAAAATTATATTTTTTTCAAAAATTACGAAATCAAATTCTCACTTCTAGCGACTGTTCCAGCCAATGCAGCTGTTTCACCTTCGTGAAATTCAAGGTCTTCTAAACCGATTAAAAATGCTGGTGCTGCGCCTCTTCGTTTTACATCCGGACGAGTATTCTCACGACACTGAATTTCAGTCTACATAAATATTAATTTTCTACATAAATATTGAAAATTTCAGTCTACATAAATATTAAACCTTTTATTAAGATACTTTAATTTGCTCGGAAAATCTCTCGAATTTAAGAACTTATATGAAATTCAAATTTTTTATCTACTGAATATTATTTTCTTTGAAGCTAGTCGGCGATGAAAAGCAAATTTAACACTTCGTATGTAAAAGAAAAGAAACCACGAATAGAAAAACAAAATAATCAACTTTTCTGTCGATATAAATTAGATCTCAAACTCATAATTGATGATAATTGAACCAAAAAATTAAAAAACAATGAGGCATTTATATATACGTTAATTAGCATTAACTGAGGAATTTGAGTGAAAATTTACTCTATCCATTCCAAGCATGGGGTGTATTGGTCTCTCCGATGACTTATCTTGTGGCGAATCTGTTTTGAGTTTTTCCATGGAGTCTAAAAGAAGATTGATCAAAATATGAATATCATTTGAGGAGATTGCAAATAAATCATTGCACTCCATATCAAATCAGGATATTTTTCTAGGAGATTTACAGAACATTCTTATTTTCTTCTGCATCCTAACTTGGTTTCCATAAATTGTTCAATTCAAAAAAAATTCGAAAGTAAAAACCTTCAGAGAGTAATCCCACTTCCGAACGTCTTTTTCCAACATTCAATGATGCAGTTGTCCGCACGATACCATGGATATTTGAGGCTTCAACCGAATAAGTACCGAGATGAGATACGCTTAGACTTGTTATTTTCAGTTGACATTTAGTTGGAGTAACGTATAAAATCTATAAAAAGAAGATGAATTACTTCTAGCTTAGATATTATTGGTATGTAATTTGAATATATGCAAATCTTTCAGTATAATAAGCATTGTTAAAGTATTTATAACTAATAGTAAATATTATAGTAATATATGAATCTAAATAACAGTGGAAAGTAAATAAAAGTTCAAATTTAGGATAATTTAACAAATCAGTACCTGAATATTATTTTGCTCAAGAATTTTCTCATCCAGATGATACCATGTCAATTCCGGTAATGGATAACCACTCACTTCAACTTCAAATTCAACGCCATCACCTAGCGGTGCCCATATATCACGCAGACATTTCAGGAATCGTGGTGGTCCGGCTGGGTGATCGAATGGTTCTGAAACATTAATTATTATTGAATGACTACAGCCGACAGAAATGCAAAATATGAACTGGAGAGGAAAGTAATTCAACTCCAAATATTTGGAAATGTTACTACTAATGTTTACTACTTACTATCCTCAATCTTCTTATAAAAATCAGGCTGAAATATAAAAAGTAAGTAACGAAAACAATGAAAAGACATACTGATTATCCTAAATTTATTGGATGCAAAAACTGTAAATTAACGTAGGCTACTAACTCAACTGTCAAAACTGTATTGAAAAAAAAAATTAGACAAGTAAGTCGCTTAAATTAAAACCACTATTTGAAAAAGCTTAACTCATCTGTAATTCTAAAAAAAATAGCAATCCTTAAAACCTATGTTCTTTGAAAACTCTGAATTATGAAAGCATTCCGACATTCTCTATTCGATATTAGATATTACTATTGAAATTTCAGTTTCTTACAGTTGCAAATAGATTCATAACACATTAAAATTAAAAACAAAAAAAAAATATTTCTCTCTTTTGGAATGCAATTTTAGCATGAAATTGCCTATTTTTTTAAATTTCAATTTAACACAAATTATTACATGCTTATTGAAACATTTTTCTCGACTTTTGACGCCATGTTTATTCTCATACAGATATATTTCACTAATTTCAGAGAGAAGATAGTTTTTTAACGATTTGAAAGAAATGAAGAAAAGATTGAAACCTCCAACTAATAAATAGCATTGAGTCATTGCTCTTCCATGTTCATTACTAGCAATACATTGATAAGTTCCTTGCTGTGTTTTTACCACACTTTCGGTCTTCATTTCACAACTATCACCTTCCCGATATTCTACCCAAGCAGAATCGGTCGTTGTACGCAGTACACTTGTTTGCTGCGCGTCATTGATAAAGATCCACTGAAACTACATATTTTGAATTCGAATATATAAACTTTGAAAATTTGTTGAAATGATCGTTCATCAAAATTCGTTTCTTCTTAATAAATTGATTTGAGTAGTGAAAAACAGAACAAGTTGTACTTGTCATATTTCACTTCCTT